GCAGCAGAAGAAGAGGTGAGGAGGAGGAGGGGGAGGAGGACGAGGAAGAGGAGGAACAGGAGCAGGAGGAGGGGGACAAGGAGGAAGAACAGGAGGAGGAGGAGTTGGAGGAGAAAGAGGAGGAAGAGGAAGAGGAGAAGACCGACGAGGAGGAAGGGGAGGATAAGGAGGAAGGAGAAGGAGGAAGAAGGCGAGGAGGAGGAGGAGGAAGATGGGGAAGAGGACGACGAGGAGGAAGAGGAGGAAGAAGAACAGAAGGAGGAGGAGGAGGAGGAGGAGGAGGAGGAGGAGGAGAAGGAGGAGAAGGAGGAAGAGGAGGAGGAGGAAGAGGAAATGTTGGGAGGATGTCTGGAGCGAAACGCTGATGTTTCAACGAAAAAGTTAAAAACACATGGGTTTTCCAATATGTTCGCTTCTTGTGCTATCTTGGGGGTCATCCGAGATCGCTCCGAAAAGATGCCTGACAAGAGCTCTGTCGGCATCCCATGTTTTGGGGATGTCTCGGGCGAAACGCCCATTTTCGAGGATCCGGAAATTAGGCGAGCGACTTCGAGATCCCGATGTTGGAAGGATGTCCCGAGCGAAACGCCCATGTTTAGTAAAAGACGTCTTAAGATACGACCCCCAACTTCACGATTGTGTGAGGATGTCTTGAGCGAAACGCTCATTTTGGGAACCTTTCCTGACATGAACGGGAAGCGCGTGAAAGGGAAGAATTGCGCAAGAACTTGCAGCATCATCGCGATCAAATGTAGTACAGGCGAGCTCTCCGAACGCTCACAAGGGATACGTATGGACACGCATCCCCCGAACATTCACAAGCATATTCCTGAGTATCCTCACCACTCCTCCGCATGAGGAAGACGACGGCGAAGACTACGACCGGGGAAGAAGGGATAGGAGGAGGAGGAGGAAGAGGAGGAGGAGGAGGAGGAGGAGGAGGAGGAGGGGAGGAGGAGGAGGAGGAGGATGGAGGAGGAGGGGAGGAGGGGAGGAGGAGGAAAAAGAGGAGGAGGAGCAGCATCAGCAGCAGCAAAAGCAAAGGTGAGGAGGAGGAGGGAGGAGGAGGAGGAAAAAAAAGAGGAGGAGGAGGGGGAGGAGGACGAGGAAGAGGAGGAACAGGAGCAGGAGGAGGGGGACAAGGAGGAAGAACAGGAGGAGGAGAAGTTGGAGGAGAAAGAAGAGGAAGAGGAAGAGGAGAAGACCAACGAGGAGAAGGAGGAGGAAGGAGAAGGAGGAAGAAGGCGAGGAGGAGGAGGAAGATGAGGAAGAGGACGAGGAAGAGGAGGAGGAAGAAGAACAGAAGGAGAAGGAGGAGTCACACTGCATCAGGAGGGGGGGGAGGGAGATGCCAGTCCTGTCCCCGCAGCAGCAACGCGGCCAGCCCCGATTGGCGGGCGATTGCCCGCGCTCTGGCCTGCACAACCTGCCTGATTGTCAGAGTGCGACCGTTCCCGACTTTTAGTGTGTTACGTACACTACCTGATTTCTAAGGCTAATGCTATACTACCCAGTTGAGACGTAGAGTTCAGATCAAGAAAGGAAAAGATAAACTGGTGCTGAAAATCGCCCTCACCCCAGGACCCAGGAAGAAGAGGAAGAGAAGCCCTCACCGCTTTCAACAGATCAGGACATTGAAGATAGTGCTCCAAAGAGTCTCCTCCCATGGCCATACATCTGCAGACACACACACACACACCATAGTACCAACCCTATATCTCTTAGTAGTGTTCCACGCATTACACCATGTCTTTAATATTGCTGCAAGCACGAACGGCGGCAACTTCTGGCTGATGATGCGCATCCGCATCATCAGCCCGATTTCGGCGAGCGATTTCGAGATCCCGGTGTTTGGAAGATGTCCCGAGCGAAACGCCCATGTTTAGCAAAAGACGTCTTAAGATACGACCCCCAACTTCACGATTGTGTGAGGATGTCTCAAGCGAAACGCTCATTTGGGGAATCCGCCAGGTCCCCGACCCCGAGTGCGTCCCGCGCGTTCCCCCCCCAGACCCCCCCAGTTGATATAATCCCTCTGGGCGACAGACGTCCATCGCGCGACTCTTCGAGTCTTAGCGCGCTTCCCGTCATCCGCCAGGTCCTGCACCACGAGTGCGTTCCGCGCGTTCCCCCCCCAGACCCCCCCCTTTACAAACTGCCTCTGGCTTTCCAATGGACGTCCATCGCGCGACTCTTCGAGTCTTAGCGCGCTTCCCGTCATCCGCCAGGTCCTGCACCACGAGGCGATCCCGCGCGTTCCCCCCCAGACCCCCACAGTTGACATAATCCCTCTGGGCGACAAACGTCCATCGCGCGACTCTTCGAGTCTTAGCGCGCTCCCCGTCATTCGCCACGTCCCGAATCACAAGGCAACCCCGCGCGTCCCCCCCTCAGACTCCCCCCCGTTGATACAATCCCTCTGGGCGACAGACGTCCATCGCGCGACTCTTCGAGTCTTAGCGCGCTTCCCGTCATCCGCCAACGCCCGTCCGAGATTCAG